GATCTGGCACATAGAAAGTAGTCTGAAATGTTAGTAATCACTGGTATCGCTATTATCCTCCTTGCTATTCATTACATAGCATTGGCAGTAAGACAAAATAAAATGGTTAAAAATATGGACATTGCAATAAAGAAAAAATGAATGAGATTCATAGCCCTACAAGTGACAAAAAGGTCATACAGTATATTTTCCATCTATAAAAAGAGATGAGATATTTTGTAAAGAAATGTATAGCAAGTGGCAGCTTCTATTATTAATTATTATTTACATGTTTATAATTTCAGAGATGCAAAAATTGAGGAACAGAAAGCGTATATGGTTTTTCACAGGCCACACATCTAATCATATCTGGCATGGTAAAAGAAAATCTATACATTGTGAGGCTGCCTATGCCCCTCCCCTCACAAAAGTCTACGAGTGCTTTCAAGATATAGACCAAAATGCAATAAACATATAAAGATACAATAATTTTAAACTGACAGTAATACTGCTATCACCTCCTACATTTATAATAAAGTTTTGCACTTTCAACACATGCTATCCCATGTGGTCTGTTTTTGTTCTACCTGTACTGCAACAGCTGGACTTGCAAAACAAATGTAGGTTAAGTACAGTGTTCACAGGAACTGATGTATCCTTTCAGAGCATTTTGAAACTAAAATTTAGTACACAGAAATATCCGGGGGGGGGGGGGGGTCTTTGGCTGGAAGACACTAGTGTGGCAAGTTAAGTCAATGGCTCAGAGCTTTTCCCACCAACTTCTGCGCCAGAGCGGGCTATGTGTGGCCTCCTATCCTTTCTGTCCCTGAACCTGACTCCCACCACCCTACCCTCGACTAGCCTTCTACAAGGATGGGAGTTATCCGTCCACGTAGAGCGCTGGAAGATCACTGTAAAGGCAACACCCTCTTGTAATCAGATAAGACAGGCACAAAATGTAAATGTAACCTTATTACAATATAGAGAAAATCCAGTGTCAAATCAAATATAATTTTTTAAAACATGATTATCTCAAGGAGATGTACTAGAATCATTTAAAGAAAACTAATAATATGTAGAAAACTGTAACCATGTATTTGCTAAATGTTTTTCCAAGGATATAAATGTAATGCTTACAGAAATGTATGTGTGCACTGTATAATATGAAAATAATGCATACCAACCAATTACCCTGCCTCAAGTCTAAAAATACAAAATATGCCTAGAGACGTGTCACATCATATGTCAACAGCTCTGCCTGAATCCCTGCTTTGCAGTCACTAATAATGGATATGCTCCATGACTCATCAGAAACAATATACAGAGTTCATGGCGCTCATGGTTCCCTCATGCTCCAAACATGTGTTGACACTAATGACAGCTACACCTCATACGGTGGGAGACAGGTTCAAGAGGACAACCAGCCAGAAAGCAACTCTTCTGAGGCTCCCTATAAAATCTGCCCCTCTCCCCCCACCCAAGAAGAAAACCCTACTACATCCTTCCTATCTTATATCTTAGGCATCCTTCAAGGAAATAAAAGTAAGCATACTTTATATAGATAGAAAAGAACGACATTTTTTTTTTCCAGCCTAACTCTCACTGCGCCTGGCAAAATGTACTTCGGTTATGAAAATATCTAAAAGGAATGTATCCAGGACCTATGCCATTGTGCTTTGTTTACCAGTCAGATGCTTTTTCAAGAAAGTGTTCAAATTATAATGATAATGCCTCCACGGATAGGAATACTTCAAAGCCCAGAATGTTAACACAGAGATGTATTTTTACTTTTCCTAACGTTCAAAACAACGTCCTCTTCCCTACAGAGGAAAATATTTCATCGTCGGGAACTCATTAATCTTTGATTAACATGTGGTCAGGAGTTTGTCTGGATTTATTTGGCATTTTTATTTTCTAAGGAAGGAAAGGCATAGCAAAGGAAAATACATATTAAGCATTTGAAGATAATTGCTATTTACTGAAAGCTCTATGCTAAAATAAATTTTAGTGACTCGTTTATGTTTGGTAACTTTGGGACAATGATAACTATAGTGTCTCTAAAAGGTTTCTAAGTAGCAATCATACTCTATTCTGGCCTTTGAGAGGTGTTAACACTCATCCCCTAATTATAAGCCTTTTCTGTGTTATTACTACCTCACCATTAAATCTCTCAACTAAACAGTAGTTTTGAGGAAATAAAAATAGATGTTAGGTGGTGTGTTTTCTCAAATTTTGGTTACAATGGATAAGAACTACAAGGAATTTCTACATAGAATAAACTTCCTTAGCTTGAAAAAATAAAAGTTCATTTTATTGCATTTTGACCAACAAATTCTTTAGGCTTTCCCCCAGAATACTGTTTTCAGGCTTTATTCTAGAATAGCACTGCCCAGGAGAAGCGTCATGCATGCTACATTTGTTATTTTGAAGTTTTCTAATAGCCACATTTAAAAAGGGTTTTTTAGAAAGCAAGTGAAATTATCTAATGATGTATTCTATTGTAACAAATATATCCAAAATACTATCACAGCAGCATATTTACAATCAACATAAAAATATTAAGCAGATGTTTTACATTCTTCCCTTTGTACAAAGTTTTCAAAATTCAGTATGTATGTTACACTTTGAGTAAATCTCAATCCAGACCAGCCACATCTCAAGTGCTCAACAACCACATGCGGTCAGTGGCTGCTGTACTGGACAGCACGTTCTAAATTTCCAGTAACATTAAGCTGTTCAGCCTAACAGGCCACACACACTTTAAAATCTTCCTGTGTAACATCCTCTATGATCGACATCGCTGTTAGGATTATATATTGAGCTGAACATTTAAATAAATGTATTTCACTTCCTCCTTCCACCCCTGGGACCCATGTACCTACTGCCCACCCCGATGTCTTTTTCTTACAGTATAAGAAACCTCAAATCACCTATTCTTTTCAGCTTCTTCCAAACAAGATCTAAGATGTACTCTAGTTTGAGCATCTTCTAACAAAGCAGAAAGCCAGGAGGTGCAGCAAGGCTATCCTCTCTTTCCATAAATAGATATATCTACTACAGGCCTAATGTATGGCGACAATGATAAATGCAAGGGCAATTTTTTTTTCTTGCTTACAATGAAGACAGGAAATTTTATATAATGAAGTAATATACCATTCCTCAATAAGAAATACAATTTTATTCTTTGCCCACCACCTCCCCCCCAACTCCTCCCAGGAGAAACCTTGGGATATTCTGTTCTTTCTTGGAACAAAACCCAGTGTTTCATTTCATAGGAATTCTATGCCCAGAGGAAGAACAGAATGTTGGAATCAAAATTTAATGAATTCAACTTGGAGTCTAAGTTTGCCTCAAATGTGGAAACATAAACACATGCAATAATATCTCAAACCATAAAACATTTTGGATTCTCTGTTGGCAGGACTGCATAGAGTATCACACTTGATGTGTATCTGCACACAATTTGTTCTTACTTACACGGGAAAAAAAATTAAGTTAGGCACATGTGAGGTTTTCTGAGTCTCTCAGTAATAATAAGACCTGATTATTATGTCTTAGATGACACTGTAATTACAGACGGATGAATGGATGAACAGGTTTTCTGGTGCTGACCCAACCTGTTCCCTAAAGCACAAAAGACAACTTTTGTAGTCCTCAGTGAGAAACCCTCCCCCCGCCATTAAACAAATAAAACTTAAAACTATGTCTATATCTTGTGAGAAGGTCTAACGACACACTAATCCAATAATCAAAAAAAAATTTTTCAATCCCATGCAAACACATAACAGATGAAAATCAGAACACTATAGGCTCCCTAAAAAAATAGTTTGGGGCTGTACTTGTCACCGACTTTAATAAAGCAAAGATACAATTGCCAATAATGTGCTTTCTCAGGCTACAAAATAACTTTATTCAGCGTCTCTGGCCTATAACTCTACAACTAAGACATTCTAAATTCTAAACTTTTTTAACTAAATATTCTCAGGATGAATTTTACGTTCGTTCTACTTTCATTTTAACTCGTCTCGGTTGATAATATTTTATCTGAACAAGACAAGGAGACACACCAACGCTCTCAAGAACCCCCAGGGAGATAACATGGAGTGTGGGTCACTTATACTAGTTTAGAATAGTTATGCGCTAACTACCCCTATGTATAAACAGACACTGTGTTCAAACCCAGGAGGGAGGAACATCGTGTCCACTGGTGTAATATTTCAAAGCACGCTGCAAAGGGCCTGCAAATCCAACGGCATTCGTTAGGACTTCTCGTTCACTGTAGTAATTTGTTTAAGAAATTCCTCAGTGCGTGGCGGAGTTTACCTTCCATTTGCTATCGCTCGTGCCCATGCTGGTGGGCACAGAGAGTCAAGGCAGTGGCAATAACCCTTCGGGCCGCTTCTTGCTCAACCTCAATCCTAGGGAAGCGCCCTCCACGGAAACACACGAAGAAGCGCGGCAGCTGCACGTTCTCCCGGCCCCGGAGAGACTTCAGAACACAATTACTGTTCTGGCAGCACCCCTGCAGTTGTAAAGCGCTGTGTGAGGGGCAAGCACAGGCTCCACCATATACCTGCTCGTGTTACAGGCTCTGGAATCAAAGTATTCTCACATGACACATTACTACCAATAACAGATTCCGCCTCCGTTAAAAAAAAAGGGGGGGGGAGCGCTACATATTTGTCCTCCTTTTGTCTAAAAAAACAGAACCCAAGTACTAACTACTTCTCATTCCTTTCCACCTTTCATGGAAGCAATTCAATCAACCAACTGCGGCTCCACCCAGAGAGCGTCTATACTTACTTTTCTTACAGCTTTGAGTGACGCACTACAGAACGATGGGGGGCGGGAGGTGGGGGGGGAAAGAGCCCTCTCATGCAGGGCGTCTTCCGCTCTGTAAACTTGGCAAAAAGGCAAACTGGACTGAAATACAGCACTCTCCATATAAGGAAGCTGAACTAAACATGCCATGCGTAATTTATGGGTAGCAGACAGAGAATTAACCTTTGCGTGCACATATTTGGCCCAGATGCAAACCGGGCGGGATGGCAGCCCCGGAGATAGAGATGTGGGATCTCTCGGGGAAAACAGGGGCTCCCATCGGACGGGCGCGCATCTCCCCCCGACGAAGGTCATTAAGTTGTAAGTACACTTGCACGCACCTGTTTATCCTCCCCACCCCTTTCTTTCTCTCTCTCTCTAGGCTGCCAAGTTGGAAGCTGGCTGCGCTCTGACAGCGTCCGCAGAGCCCGGGGACGGGCTGCTGGAGCCCGGCTGCAGCTGCAACCTCCCGCTCCCCCTCCAGCCCTAGATGGTGTGGTCGGGAACTAGCCGCCGTGGCTAGCCAGCCCCCGCCGCTACGAGCCGCAGCCCGGAGCCTCCTCACTTCCTCTTCGAGCCCCGAACAGCCCGATAGCGTCCAGACAATGCCGAGCAGCGCCAGCAAATGGAACATGGAAACTTACCTCTCACATGTTTTTTTCAGAGGCAGCCCGACTGCCGACCGAGTGCCCAAGGCATTGTGGGAGTCCTGATTCCGAGAGGCCCGCGATTTAAAATTGAACTTGTCAGTGCCCGGTCACGGGAGCATGGTGAGCGCCACAACTCATTCAGCTGCAGTGAAAAGACTGTTGCATGTCGCTGTGCAGCCTCTTATCGCGGAGGTCTGGTTTCCGCTGCTGCTGCTGCGCGGCCCCTCCCCCGCCAGCCCAGCCCCACCAGGAAGCCCGGGGCGGACTCGGCGAGCTCCGGAACGCACGCGGCGCCTTAAAAAACGCTCGAAAACTTTCCGCCGCTCGCCCGCTCGCCCCCTGGCCGCTCGGTAGCCCCTCCGCCTAGCAAAGTCCTCAGGGAGGGTGGTTGCCACTCGCGGGTGGGCGCGGAAAGCAAAAGGAAACCCGAGCCGGCGCTAGCGAGGTGCATCCCCGCAGCCAACCGGTGGTATCTTCCATCTTATACGTTCCACATTACCACCTCCCAGCTAGGGTGCAAACGGGACGCACTCCTACGACTTTGGCTCCCTGCGACTAGCAGGGCAGACGAACGGGTTCGTTTTTTAGATAGGCCCGTGGATGGAGCTTTGTAAGGAAGCCTGCAAGGTTAGACTGAAGGTGAGAATCCGATGAGGGTAAAACATTAAGATCTGGTGGGGCTGCCGCCCTAAAAATGCACCACACGGTTTTTGAACCTGGATGGCTCGCGGGCGGGAAAAAAAAACATCTGCAAGACCGACCCGCCAGTGTGTATCTTTCTCAAGTAACAGGGTGGGTGTCCACGGTTTTGGAATTCCTCAGTCAAACGGATTGTCATACAAGCACAAACACAGACCAGCTTCCCATCTAGTTTGTAAATATTTGAAATGTTAAATCCCCTTCCTTGCCCACTCTGCGTTATTTGATTTGTAGAAGAGTCCCCCGCCAACACGCGCGCGCGCGCGCGCGCGCACACACACACACACTTTTAAAAATAAAAATATCATTTTCTGAAGTACTGGAATATTCCAAGGCAAAAAAAAAGTCATAATATTGTTGGAGCAAAAGAAACCACAGCCCCAAATCATAATTCACTGGGTGTTACAAGATATAACTTGGCTTCACTTCGAATGGAAAGAATCCTGGACTAACGTGATGTGATACAGTTTTGGATATTTGGGGGTAGAATTTTCTTTGGATTTAAGGAATGTTGATAATTTATTCAATGATTCTAATTAAAAATACTTGTTTTATGTTTGGACACAGTTTGGAACAACATGCTACATATGCTTCCATATTCTTCCTACAACTTTGTTGTGTTAAAAAGGGTGGGGCCAGCTTCAGAAGGAGAGGGAAAAACAGCATGAAATGTACTCAAGTACAGAAATACTTCCAGAGGCACTCGTAACAAACTTGAGTTCTTAACTCTTGGCTGGATCCACAAAACATTGAGTTAACATTGCGCACGGCTCCCTTCCAGAACAAATAAATTAATTAAATGGTGCCGTTTCTCAATGTTAATTATTAAAAACTATTCAAGTGCACACATAGTTGAAGCAAATTAAAAGGACATGGATGGGCATCCCCTACCTGTCGATTAATAGCTATGAGGGCTTCCTTCTAATTTAGCGCTGATTTCAACGTCTAGAGTGCCTGCTATGCCAGAGATGCAAGTGTGGATAAGACGGAGTCCCTACTCTCAAGGATAATACCCTGCTAGGGAAGAGACAAACCAAATAATTCTCCCTGAGCAATCAATGCTAAGACGGTGAAGGCAAGCCCAAAGGGGTCCTGAGAAGAATCAGGGAAGGCTTCCCGGAGGTGTTCATTTAATGGGTATATTGAAAGGTGTGTGGAAATTAGCAAAATGAAAAAGGAGTCCAGGTCAAGTGGTGAAAAGAGCGTGGCAAATACAGCAGACCTGCCAGTTTACCCGTTGGAAGTGAGAGGGGATCAGAGGAGGGGAGTGACAGGTGAGCCCAAAGTAGGTCTGTGTTTATCCAAGGAGTCTCAACTTCACTCTGAAAAGTGTGATGGACTACAAGAGTTGACACAGCAAGGAGATATGTGGAGGCTGGGCTTGTATTTCGGAAAGATCCGGTGGCAATGGCTTGAGGGAGGACTGGAGTGTGGGATGGCAGCGGGTGGAAGAAGGCTGGATGGGTGTGGACAGACTGGAATAGTGACTCACGCAGGGAATGAGGAAGGGAGGAGCCTTGGGAGACTTTCAAATCCGTGGTGTAGCCTATTGAATTGTTTGCTACTTGCCTTTGAATTTCTTCCGTTTCTCTCCCGTGCTCCTTGACAGCAGACCCTGACTTCTGAGCAGGACCACCACTGCATCCGCCAGCAGGTCCGTGCCCTCGCTGGTTTCCATCCGCCTCTCCTCACAATGTCCAATGAGAGCCAAGAGCTAACCCACTTGTAGGAAATTACTTTCAGTGGTCCTCTGACCCTTGTGCAGTTCCAAGTGAGTGCTTTGGTGTTTTGTTTTGTTTTGTTTTGTTTTGTTTTGTTTTGTTTTTCTTGTGGGTTAGAAAATTTGGTATTTGAAACAATATGGTGAAAAACAGAACTTTGAATCTCTGCATGATGCAAGATGGGAAATTATCCAAGAGGGGAAATTATCTTTCCACTACAGCCCTGGAGGAGGGGAGGAATTCTGGGAACAAAAGAGAAATTGAAACTGAGACAAGTGTCCTGCTCCACGGAACAGAAAGTGAAGAAATACAAGAAAGACCCTTGAATGTTAGAAACCAAATAAACATCCCAGTAAATAACAAAGAAGATAAAAAATGGTATTTTACATCTGAGAAAGGAAAAAGGGATGGCTAAGAAAACTCATATAAAACAGTGGTCAATCAAGGACTCAAAGACGAGTTAAAGTAAATCATGATTTAAAAAAAATTCAATGTCACTGGTTTAGCTTAATTTATCATTTATAATATTACATCATGAATAATGACATTTTAAATATCAAAGCATTGTAGTATACACCAGATCATATGTTAAAAATATTAAATCATGTTGCCAGCTTTCAACTACCAGAGGAATTCTAACCACATTTCAAATTGTGGAAATTATTAAAAAATCATTATAGTAATAAAAAGTAAATAGTCCCTCATTTAGAATACCCACTAATATTCTCTCAGTGCTGGGGAGAATTATGGTTTCTCTTACTTCTACGAAGTATAGTTATATAGCCCACAGGTTAATGAGTGAGTATATCCATAAATATAAGGAAGATCATTTATGGGTAGACAGGAAAATTATAGAAAACAATTTCAGATGAAATAAAACTACATCCTCAGATAAAAGAACATGTTCACCGTGAGTTACTGAAATATCTCAGACCATTCAGATCTTAATTATGCCAGTTAATCCCAATAGAGATACAAGTAAGAAATACGGTTTTAAAAGATAATATCATCTCCCTGATTTACCAAGGATGCAGATAAAGGAGATGATAGCATTTATCAGTTTACTCAAATAGACCTGTGTAATTATGTGAGTGTAGGTATTCTGAACTGGGTCTTTTTTGTCCTACATACCACATTTCTAGCTCAATAAGCTCTCACTGCCTGCCAAATATAATTTGCTTCTTCTGGACACACCCCACCCCCACAATCATATAAATGAAAATATACCAAGAAGGTATGCTTTTCAAACATCAAAATATGGAAAAGTCTTGAATCACTAATGTACGAATGCTGTTTTTTTTATTATACTAAGATAAAAAATAATCTGTTGCAAGATAGTGTCAAAACTGAGACACGAATTCAGGTCTCTTGCTTTCTAGTCCGTATTTAACTATAGACATTAAAGAGGACAAGCTGCTGAAAGGCATCTAGAGTTGGAAACACTCTTGTATGGAGAATCCATTTTAAGTCAATGCAGTAAATGCATCTCTGTTAAACTTCACAGCCGGGCAGGAGGTACACTCTTTTGTAGCCTGGATTCAAACTTGTTCAAGAATAAACATACTTGATAGAATTACATGAATTTAGTCTACTTTGATGGACCTTTGTATACTTCACACATCAAAGTAAATTTTAAAAATCATACCCAGTATTTGAATATATATTCTATTATAGATTGTGTATATCTATAATACAGACAGTCCCCAACTTACGATGGTTCGACTTTGGAATTTTTCACTTTACCATGGTGCAAAAATGATATATATTCAGTGGAAACCATACTTCAAATTTTGAATTTGATCTTTTCTTGAGCTAGCGATATGAAGGATGATACTGCTGTGATGCTGGAAGATCACAGCGAGATGATTTTTACCAACTGTAGGCTAATGTAAAATTTCTGAGCATGCTGAAAGTAAGCTGGGCTAAGCTATGATGTTTGGTAGTTTAGTTGTATTAAATGCATTTTGACATAAAATATTTTTGACTTACTATGGATTTATTGGAGGTGTAACCCCATCCTAAATCAAGGAGCATTTATATATATATAGGATATTTTATAATAACACATTATACAAATACTTAAAGCACTTAATGTATAAATCAAATAAATGTGAAAATATTATATAAAATTCAGCTTGTCTTAAAATGTTTATAAAGATTAAAACTGAGTTAAAACATTGATTTGATTACGCATTTCTAAATTAAGTGATTTCTACCTAACAGTTGAATCTAAATCTTCAATGTTAGTATTCCAGCATCTGAATAGAGAAATAGGACACAAATACATTTCCGAATTAAATGCTTAGAACCACAGAATGTTAGCAGGAAATGGAACATTGGAGGCCATCTAGCCCTGTTCCCTCGATAGATAGGACATTCATCGTGTCAGTACACTGGCCTGTGACTGAGCAGAACTGGCATTAGTGTCTTCTGCCTCTCTTAGGCCATTTATTTTCACTATTTTTCTTAAAGACTCTGGGGCAACAAAAACTCTAATATAGGTATAATGGTTCTCCCACTTTAATAGGAAGAGGAACCACAGAGCAGATTTCTACTACAGTTTTTTCTCCATTTCTCCCATCTTTCCTTTTTTCTTACTGTATTCGTTCCATTTTTCTGTCCCTCCTTCCTTCTTTCCAGACAGAAGACACATTTCACACGATGCCTCTATTCATTTCACAAGTGTTTAGTGAGCATTCACCATGATAAGTCCTGTTCTGGGACCTGTGGTTGCAGTAAAAAGACCCAATCACTTTTCTCAAGGAGTTTGCTGTCTGCTAGGGGGAGGGTGACAGGCACTAAACCAATAAAGAATTAATCCAAAGAAAAAGATAAATAAATACAGGAGGCAATTTCAGATGGAGGTAAGTGCTATGAGATCAAAGAAAGCAGGTTGAGCAGATGAGGAGGGGTGTTTGTGGTTGAACGGGAAGGTGAAGAATCGAGGTGGTCAGAGATAGACAGAGTCCTCGAGGATGTGAAGAATATCTACAGAAGGACCATTCGAAGTGTGGGAACCACAGGTCTAGAGCCTTAAGTACCAAACTCAGGCTAGGACTGGAAGTCCAATGGTGAATAAAAACCAGTAGGACACTTCAAGGAGCTTATAGTCAAGAAAGAAAAATAATGCATCTTAAATCAATCGCATTCAACATGGAAAGCTACAATCATGATACTTTTGGTCAGTGGGGACCACTGAAGAGTTTGCTTAATCTCAGAACAAAATGGACAATGTGCTGCCAAAAGAGCGGGCCCTGGTCAGAGCGCACGGGGCAGCAGATGGCTGAAGCCCTGGCAGAGGAAAGGGGTTCGTTCGGACACCCTTCGCTGTAAGACATGTAAACATTGGAGTCTTACATCCCGGAGCTGCGGAGGATCCAGAAAGTGGTTGCCTCCCTGCTTTGAAGGATGTGAAATATGTGATGTGTATGTATGTGAAATTTATTTTTTTTCCTGAAAGTCAATGCAGTATAGAAAATCCAAAACTAAAGAAGATAGAATATATTTATAAAAATCAGCAGTGATCCCCAGTTTCCCAAGAGAGTTACTGGTAATATTACTTCAGTCCTTCCAAGCATTTCTCAACACATTTTTGCATAATTGATATTGCACTGTGTAATACACAGTTTTGTAAGTTCCCCCCACGTACTCTCATGATATAACTTCATAAAATGAAAGACATCCCCCATGTCATTCATTATAACCTCACAGCTAAGGAGGGGTCAGGCCTCCTGCTCCGCAGTGCGGTGTGTCTCAGATCCTGAATTAATGTGTCTAATGTGTCATACAACTCTAAACACTCCACCTGCGATATACACATGTCTTCTCACATGGACAGTCATTACGGAAAAGAAAATATATAGTAATGCTCTTTGAATAAGTACAATGGTTACAAAAATAAATATGAAACAGGTAGTCAGAAGGTCAAAGTTCACATATTACTTATGTACACTTGTACAAATTACCTGCAGTAGTGTGAAACAGTTTCTGCCATCTCATAAAATTGTGTGTTGTGGCTTAGCCCAGAATCCCTTTGTAATATTTAAAAATTAATATGTAATAGGTCTTACAGTAGAAATGCGACACTGTATTTTATGTACTATAATCCAAACATTTCTATGTATTAACGCTGTTCCAAGAAGAATAAATGCAACTGAAAAAAATATAGCCATTGCTTCACTTGTTCCTAAATGCAAACAATTTTTTGAAAATACCAATAGCAAGGTTGATCCCCCCTACTCCAAAACATGTACTGTATCTATCCATTTCATTTTTGAAGTTCCTTTCTTTTGGCTTTGTAATATCCCACATCCCTTTCTCTATTCATTCCATTGTATGGGGGTCTCTCTCTCCTCCCCGCCTCTCTCTTTCTCAGAATCTTTTGCTGGCTCCTCTTCTTTCTTACCTCTGTTTCCCAAAATTACCTTCAGACCATGTCTCAAAAAGTGCCCTGAAAGGACTTTTGAATAAGAATAACTTCTGTCATCTTAAATGGCGGGAGCTTCATACCTACATCTTTTTTCCTTTTCCCCTCTTTGCTTTGCCCAACAGCGTAGCAACTGAGTAGTAGAATCAAAATAATTCTAATATCTTAACGTGATCTTCAGTATGCTCCTTAATTCACTTAACCCATAGTTATTGAGCAATGACTATGGGCCAGGAGACTGACAATACAGAAATATTTCAGATTTCAAGGTGCTCATAACCTGGTCTAGTTGGTGGAGACAGATGTGGCAAAAAAGAACCTCACGCATTTGGAAAAGAGTGTAGCAAATGAAACAATTCAGTTACATTCAGCAAACGCCGGGGGCTCGCCTGTGCCAAGCAGATGGCAAGGGGAATCGGACTGGGCCAGGCCTTGCATGGCGCAGACCCCCAGGCAGCTGGCAAACGGTAAAATTACCTGGCACACGTTAAGGCCTAAGAAAGATTGGCACAGGAAAGCGGTGAAGGGCCATCACACAGACAAGCAGCTTGATCATGTGAGTACTTTAAACAAATCGTTGCCCTAGCAACCTGAGGAGAAAGTTTGTTTTTCCCTCTTTTCCCGCCGCCATTAGCCTCCTAAGTGTCAAGTCCAATTCCCGAACCCTGGGGCTCCCAGACTGCAGGTTTCCTGACCCAGCCTTGGGTGAGTCCTAGGCTGGCCTCGCAACTCCCTCCTGGCCTCCCCAGACCTTCAATAACAAATCCTCAACTAGGTGATAGGAGATTATCTGATTAAAGTCATTCGCACTAAGGCGAAAATGAGGCCTAATCCTTTAAAAGTGTTTGCTCTGACAAAGGATAGCTTGTTAACCCTAATAAACCACTAATTGGCTATGGAAAGACCCCTCCTCCTCACTCCCCAGACTCCCCCCACCCTCACTCCTCTGTCTTTCGGTGAAGGGAAACTGGTGAATTTGCAAAGTTAGGGACTCCAGTTACACACATTATCTCCTCGACCCCTCACAAGAGGCCTATGAGATGGTACGTTGAAGACCACCTGACAAAGGAAGACACTGAAACGAGGACAGGTGCTCTTGGGGACATTTTGGATCAATGAAATTAAAATTCCTGGGAGTGACACTCAAGCATCATTTTATTTTTTTAAGGTACTCGAATGATTCCAATGTACAGCGAAGGTTTTCCTGCCACCGAGCTGGAGTTTAAGAAAGGAAATTACCTAGAATCAGGGGCGATCCATGACCTGCTCCATTTTTCTCCCTTTGGCAAGTAAAGTTTATCTGGTTGTACAGAAACAGTGCTCTCCGCAGGAAACTCTGTCTCAAACAGAGTAGGTTTGGAAAGCTGAGATGGGGGTGCGCCTTTGTGCTGCACCTGGTTGGCCATGGTGTGTCTGAGGCAACCGAAATATGTTTCACTTTTTACCAGGTAAACATCAGCAGCTTGTGGGCTTAAAAACAAGCTAGACAAACAATCAAGGCCACACAGAGGATACTCCTACGTATTCAATCATGCTGAGGTTGCTGTTTGCTTCAAATTCTTTACCCTGTGTCTTTCAAAGAAATTGTAAAAATAAATAAATAAATAAAATGTGATTGAATCATCTTGAGGGAAAAGAAAAGAAATTGTGATCATGACTGCACCTCGAGAATGACATCGGGGCCTCTGAGAGTCACAAGTGTCCTGGGGCACTTCCTTTTGTGTTTATTTATATTAAACTATAGAATGCATGTATGGTGTAGAACATATGTGTGTGTGTGTGTGTGTGTGTGTGACTTTGGTGATAAAAACTGTTTTGCAAATTTTAGTATTTTTATATAGTCATTCAACAAATTAATATAGTTAATTTATAAATGCAAATAAATTAATAGGACCTTTCTCATTTGTATCTCATTTGCAGGTAATGTTAGAAGTCTTTAATTTATGGTCTTTGTGAATGTGCTGTCACTCCAGATAACCTTCTGGCCACACCTGGGTGGATCTGAATGGCCATTTTTCTGCTGTAAGTTTAGCAATGAGCTACTGCTGACAGGACCTGATCCCGTCTAGCCTTCTCATTAATGAATGTATTTTCAGACAATGTGGAACATTCTTTTCCCTTCTCAAACTTTTCTGGCCATAGGTCACCACGAACTACTGGATTTTTACTCTAAGCGTTTTTGCTATCAACATTCCTGTCCAGTTCTCAAGAAGTCCCTGAGCACCTGGCATAATTCTGGCCCTTGTAGACTCTGAGGCTCTAGGGTGAGTACAACTAGCCCTCAAGCCTCTTGGAACGCACCATCCAGCAGGGACAACAGATATGCAACAGTAAATAAGTATAATCAATTAAGTAATATAAATGTGCAAAGTCTAGAGAAAAGGAAGAACAAGTGTCAAAAGATAAACAGTTATCAGTATTTTAATGATTGTTTTCATTGAATTCAAACAACTAGAATTATGGCCATATGAAAACCATCGTAGTATTTATACCACAGGTCTACACTGATTTATAAAAGAGAATTTGTAAAGTAGAATTCCATTGCTGATGACATGAAATAGCAACTTTATTTCTGTTAAGATGCAGGGTGTCCACACATAGCCCTTGAGCAAGGACTGAAAACATCTTTTGACTGAATACTGCTACACTGCTCTTGCTGTGTTGGTTTTTGTGGGAAGTGTGTGTGTGTGTGTGTGTTTACTTTCATTCACTTCCTGGGTTTAACCTTTTAAGGTTTTGACAGCTAGAGACAGAGCCAGCTTCTCTTTCATACTTTTGGAAAGTATAGAATGCCAACCTTTGAGTTAATGTATGAAAATCCAATAGGGCCTGGCCAGGTAGCTCAGTTGGTTAGAGCATTGTCCCAATACACCAAGGTTGCAGGTTTGATCCCTGGTTAGGGCACATACAGGAGTCAACCAATGAATGAATAAATAAGTGGAACAACAAATCAATGTTTGCCTGTCTGTCTCTCTCTCTCTTTTTCTCTCCCTTCCTCTCTCTCTGAAAATAAATAAATTTTGAAAATGTAAAAAATCCAATGGCATTATCTTTTGTTTTGTCAAAGTTAAAGATTTTTTAAAAAATTTTTTGTTACTGGATGTAATTTTTTTCTGTTTCAGATGTAAAAAGTAATATGTGCTTATTTAAAAAAAGAACGTGCCAAGTGCTCCTAGTAGGAGTTTATTAAATGTGTTCATGTGCCATCATAAAGACGTCTATGCCTGATTACTCAGGACTAGCAGCAGAGCGACAGGCTCTGACTCCTGCCCACGGACTTCCTCCCGTGCACGGGGTAATTTCTTTCTACAGCTTCAGGACTCCCACGGTCCCGCAAAAGCACTTCCCTACCTGCCATTTAGTCTCTACAATTAAGTAAAGAAAAAGTTAACTGGATAATAGAGGCTGGCCATTCCAGGCCTCTCTTTTCATGAAGTCATTCTTCTCTAAAGATAGTCTAAATTACAGACTAAGCAGAATAGTTTTTCTACCTTGTGAAGACTATGAAGTCTGTTTATTCTTACACAGTCTGGTCGATGGGTCTTGGGAAAAGCTGTAAATAATTTGCTGGGATCTCTAAATACTGAAAACTCTACATGGACCCTGGGCGACATTAACTTTGTTAGATTTGAACTTGTGGAAAAGGGCAGACATGGCACTAAACATCCAATTTATATGAAGTAAATACATCAGTTTTAAGGAAAAGGCAGCCCATGGATGATACTAGACACAACTTTGGATATCTGCCTTACCATAAGGAAAGAAAAAGCCAACTCAAGTAAATCTATTTCATTTATGACTAAATTACCGGGTGACTAAGGAGAGCACAGTCTGCTTTGGAGTTATTGACAACAGGTACATACTTGCTAATATGACACACAGGCCAGTCTCATAGGTAACAGTCAGGGCTGCTGCAAGCTTGGTCTTCTGCACATACTGTCGGCTGCCTCTGGCGATAGAACAGGCCCACCTGCCCCCACCAGCCTGGTGCAATAGCCTGTGCATGCACCACACTGTTTAGAAGAATCAGGTTAAAAAACAGGGGGGTGTTATTTCAAAGGCTGCTGTTTTGCCCTTGGCCTTGATTCTTGTGAAAGAAAGACAGTCTTTGGAGTCTGTTATTAGGCACGGGATTCTGGACGGTCTCTAAGTCTCAGCTTCCTGAAAACTTAAAATGTGTACTGCGCAAGACTGGGGTGATGAAGGACATCGTGAATGTGAACTTACCATAGGTCAGGCCTTTGAGAAAGAATAGCTATTTCTGTCATTTAAAATAAATAATAATTAAGAATTTAAAATGTAAAATATTTTTTAAAAATGAACTCATGCTAAACTTCTGGTCTCTTCTAAATATAAGGATTAAAATTAAATTACAACTTGACCAAATTTGCAGCTACTCTTTGCAAGATAAGGAGCTGATGATCCTCTTACAGTTTTTGTAATAAATAGGTAGGATGTAATTAAAAGGGAATCCATGATGTTCCCTGGAATGATAAACAGGCCCTTTAGAAACACCACTCTTAATTGCAGAGTTTTCTTTTTCAAAAGAAAGTGCACAGCTTTCTTTTGTCCAACTCCCCACACCTCCTGCCCCTGACAAGGCAAAACATGAGAAGGACAAGCCAAGCCAAGCAAACAGCATCTACCACTTTAAAGAAGAGCATATGATGCACAGTTGCATGGAAACTACTTCCTTTAGGGCCATCTATGATTTCTTTTTGACTCAGTAAGAACTGT